CTCAGGTCAGCAATAAAAAGATACACAGGGAGAGTGTATCAAGAAACAAGATCCATCAATATACTGTATACAAGAAACATCTAACTGGAAAGGAAATTCATAGACTGAAAATCAAAGGAGAGAAAACAGTTGTTCCATGTGACAAGAGACCAGAAAAAAAGCAAGAGTAACTTGCCCATCAACTGCAGAATGGACAAGAAAGAGAGTTTTTTCATGCAGTGGAAAGCTACCCAACTATAAAGTAGAATAATCTCAAGGCTCTTGTAAGTAAATAGATGGAACTGGAGATCATGTTTATGGGCAAAACAGTTTAAACTCATATATGTGAACCCTAGCATAAGAAATGGAAGGGGTTAATGGGATCCAAAAGCAAAATAGTTATTGCAAGAGTGATAGGGGAGGAAACACCTGGGATTAACTACAATTACTGTTAATTTCTTATTGTCTTGTCTTGAATTCTTACATCGTTTTCACAGTTTTGTTAGGTTTGGCTTTGTTCTGTCTTGTTAGATTTTACTTTGATGGTATGGGCAGCTATTTTGAACATAATGGGATGTATTATGGTAATCATGGTTAGTTTCCTATTGTTTTGAAGTCTTATAATGCTTTCATTTGTTTAATTGACTTTATTCTGTTTTGTTTGATTTTATTATGTGATGGTATAAACAGCTATTTTGAAGAAAATGAGACATGGTAGCCATTGCTGATTTCCTATCATCTTGTTTTGAAGTCCTATCATGCTTTTGTTCTTTTGTTTTGATTGGTTATATTCTGTTGTGTTTTATTTGATTTTATTATGTGTGATGGTATGGACAATTTTTTGTTTTGTTTTGTTTTTTTCGTTTTTATCAGTACCAGGGATCGAACTCACAACTGCCTGCTTGCAAGGCAGGCGCTTATGCTGCTGAGCTAAATCTCCAGCCCTGACAACTTTTGTTTTATTTGATATTATGGTGAAGGTATGGTCAACTATTTCAAAGAAAGCAAGAGACATTATAGTAGCCACTGTTGATGTCCTGTTGTCTTTTTGTGAAGTCCTGTGTTGCTTGCATTGTTTTGTTTTGATTTGATTCTGTTCTGTTTTCTTTTGTTTTATTCTCTTTTAAAAAATTTAAAAATTGTGCTGCTATAAACATGGGTGCACATATATCGCTGTGGTACAATGTATTTAATGCTTTTGGGAAGATACCCATAAGGGGAATAGTTGGGTCAAATGGGACCTCTAGTCCTAGTTTTTTGAGGAATCTCCACAATGATTTCCACAGTTGTTGAACCAGTCTACCCTCTCACCAACAATTGAGAAGGATTCCTTTTTCTGCACAACCCCTCTAGCATTTGTTACTGGTTGATTTCTTAATAATAGCCATTCTTTCTGGGGTGAGGTAAAATCTCAGTGTTGTTTTAATTTGCATCTTGACCAGACTGAGTTGGTTCCTGCATTGTCACAGTTGTTGTGCACTAACGACAGAACTCAGGGCTGTGGTGCATGCTGGGCAAATGCTCTACCACTGAGCTACACACCCCAGCCCTTTTTAAAAACTATTTTGGACAAGGTCTCAATAAGTTGCCCAACCTGTCCTCAAACTTCCTCCTGCCTCAGCCTCCAAAGCAGCCAGAATTACAGGTGTATGCCATCCTGTATGGTCAAGTTCTTAGGAGGCACTCTTTGATTAGCTTGACTCTACTCAAATCTCACTGGGAACACATTGTTTGATTTGGTCAACTCTGTGCTTCAGCCTGCTACTCAGTTTGGGCTGGTTTCTTTCATTTTCATCAGATTGGCCTCCAAGGGAAGATAGCAGTGAACTTTTCAAAGAAATTTGTTGAGTAATAGCGGGTTATATTGGTATACAGGGTCATTCATTCAATAGTAGACACGGGAGGTCCTGTGAGTTTATCCAGCCCAGGCACTTGGTTAGTCTTATTTGAGCTGGGTTGGTTAATACAGTTTTGGAGATTTAGTATTTATTCACTGTCTTTATCATCATTCATTCAGTGTGTCTCATTCATTTGTTTACCTTTACATTTTTTAAAACTCTTGGGATGTAAAGATTCACAGTCTCTAAGGGAGATAAGTAACCTCAAACAACTGATCATTCCTGAACTGGAAGGGTATGTGTGGTGCTGAGAGATCAGAGGAAAAGTGGCTGCTGGAAAGTGAGGATGAAGAAGGGCCCAGGGAGAGTCATGTCCACAGTGTCTCAAGGTTTTTCATTTTCCCTGCAAATTTTTTGACATTTTACCCAAAAACAGAGGAGTCTTAAACTGCAGAATCTTAATTGGGAAACTGAGGCAGGAGAGTGGCAAGTTCATGTTCAGCCTGGGAAGCTTAGTGACGCAAGACCTTGTCTCAAAATGAAAAATATTTTAAAAGGAGTTAGAGATGTAGTTCAGCTTGAAGGCCTTAAATTCAATCCCCAAGACCATAAAAGAAAAGAGCAGTAGGGAGTTGGGATGTAATTTAGTGTTAGAGCCACCTGGACTCAGTCCTCAGTCCTCATACAAAAATAAATCAAAGCAAATTCTATAAAACTTTACCCCAGATAACCCCAGATTTATTAATTTTTGATGACAAATGGCTGTGTAAAAATAATTTTTTAAGCTAAACCTAGTGGTGCACCAGCCTAAGGAGGCTGAGGCAGGAGGACTGTCATGAATTTGAGGCCAGCCTGGACTACGTTGTGTGACCCCATTTCAAAAAAAAATTTTTTGAATATTGTATATAAAATAATCTGTGGGAAATTAATTCGTCTCATTAAATAGTATCCTTTATTCATTTGCTGGTGGATTAGGAGGGTAAATAAGTGGTCAACTGAGGGAATACAGTTATGATTCTTAGTTATTTCATCACTAGTATAATTCATGTTACAAAGATTAACTTTTTAGAAAAACTTCATAATTAGAATATTAAGCATTCCCTTCTGGGGGAGAACCAGGAAGCCCTCCCCCTCCCCCTGCCAGTCAGCAGCAGTCCTGCCAGCTGGTGGAGAACCAGAAACCCAAGCCTATCCTGTCCTATGCCCCACCCCTTGTGAGCCAGCCTATGTAGGCCAGAAGAGAAGAATAGTACCCACCTCCTCAAATAACTGGCTGATTTGGGGGAGCACAGGCTGAGGTGATAGTAACTGAAGTAAAGAAACAACATAACACTTGTATTGGTTGGTTGACTTTTGGGGCCTAAAGCTGGTAGTCTGAGCATCTATTTAGAGGATAACAAGAGGCATTATGGTAGCCATTGTTAATTTCCCATTACCTTGTTTTGAAGTCCTGTATTGTTTTCATTGTTTTGTTGTTAAAATGGATTTTATTCTGTTTTGTTTTATTTATTATATCTGATGATATGAGCAGCTGTTTTGAATATAAAATATATTATGGTAGCCATTAAAAATGAATAAAATAAAATGTTAAGTTTTGAAAGTGACAGTTAGGGATTGTCAATGAGTGGTAGCAGAGATACCTTTGTATTGTTTTAACCAAAAAGTAAAACCGTATACATACATAAAATCTTTACTTTTCATACGCTTTGGATTGAGTGAAAAGACATACTGGGATTCAGCAAAGTGTTAAATTCTGCCAAAGCTTCAAAATAATGAACTAATTTGATTACTCAGTACAAGTAAGTTAGAAGTCTTTTTGATTTATATGTAGAATAGGCCCTTTCCCTAAGGTTCATTGTCACATCAGTACCTGTGATCCAAATTGCTGTGTGAAATAGTACCAGAAAAAGCTTGTTTGCCATTTGATCACCTTTTTATTTTGCTGAGACTGGAATTTGAAGGTGAATAAGTACAGGAAGAAATTCAGTAAACAAATTATTCTGTGGAATTATTCATACAGAAAGCAGAACCTAAGATTTCCAATAAACTTTCTGATATAAAGTCAGATTTTTTTTGGAAACAGCATCTTGCTGAGTTGCCCCATTGGGCTTATACTTGCAATGGTCCTGCCTCAGCTTCCTAGAGTTCTGAAATTACGGGCATGCATTACCATGCCTGGCTCTGATTTTACTATTTGAAGGCATTAATTTACCTTGCTGGCTTATACTAACTCTATTGGATGTTTTCATATTTTACAGTATCTCAGTATCATCATGTAGCAGTTTTTTTATGGCATTTAGCCATAGTTTTATTAAAAGGATTTATGGTATAAAAGTTGTGTAAAGCATATTTCTTTTATATTCTGCTTTCAAAAGTAATTGTGAGAAAGTATTCGCAATTTAATTAAAGAGTCAGATTTAAGGGGGCACAGTGACACTCATCTGTAGTCCCAGCTATTCTGAAAGCTGAGGCAGGAGGATCAAAGTTTGAGGCCAGCCTGGAAATCTTAACAAGACCATGTCTCAAAATAAAAAAAATAAAAGGGACTGAAGATGTGGCTAAGTGGTAGACTGCTTGCCTGTCATGCATGAGGCCCTGGGTTCAATTCTCAGCACTGCAGAAGACTTAGTAAAAGGTCTTTATTAGGCTATTTTAGACAATTTTTTATTTTTCCCTTTTGGTACCAGTGTTTGAACCCTGGGCCTTCATTTGTAATGGGCTATATCCCTGGCCCTTTTTTCACTTTTTATTTTGAGACAGTCTTACTGAGTTGCCCCAAATGGGCTGGAATTTGCAGTCCTCCTGCCTCAGCCTTCTAGAGTGCTAGGACTATAGGTATGTGCTACCATATTTGGCTGCTGAGAGATTGAGATTTCTTTAGTGGTCTAGTAACTGATTGGCTTCTGATCCTTCGTCATTACACATCTGTTGGATTAAAAGACACTTTTGGTTAGCTGTATACTTTGAATATTTAGACAGTTAATGTCTTCTTCCTGAGGCAGAGCTGTCTGAAGGGTGCTTATGTTTCTCTTCTTCAGTGCTTGGCACAGAGTCAGTGTGTGGTACACATCAAATAAATAAATGGGTAAATAAGTTTCTTATGAATTGCATGAATTTCGTGAAATTTAAATGTGCATGCAATCCTGGATTGTATGATTAGCCATTTTTATTGCATTTTAACAGATTGCCAGTCACAGTGGCTATGTTCAGATCGACTGGAAGAGAGTTGAAAAAGATGTAAACAAAGCAAAAAGACAAATTAAGAAACGAGCAAATAAAGCAGCGCCTGAAATCAACAATGTAATCGAAGAAGTAAGACAATACACAGTTTGGGCTCCTTTTTGTGTTATTCTTTGTAGAAAATGGGTCTAGAGATTACCGTTTTTTTTAAAATGTGCTTTTTGTTGTATATCTAGAATGTTAGGTAAAAATGATTAAAAACTATCATTTAAATCAGTCCTTTTTTTGGTGATGGTGGTAAATTTAGATGCCCACACCTTTTTCTAACCCATTTTAATAACATTATTCTGATATTATTCTTCTAAGATTTTTTCTTTTTACTTTTATAAATGTAGAGTGTATATATTAGATATAGTAATAGTCCTTATTTTTCTTGAGCTAAAATAGTTTGAAAATATTAATATAATATAGTCATTATTATTAATTTTTTATCTTTGCTTTTTTATCCTTTTACCTCTTCTAACTTTTTATTTTGAGAATTTTTTAATTGAACTGAAAAGTTGAAAGACAAAATGAATGCCCAGTCACCCTTCATCTTTTACCAAATTCACCTTTTACCCATTTTGGTACATTTGCTTTATCTGTATATAGATGAGATTTACATCTTTTTTTTTCTTTTCATTTTTGCCAGATTTCATATGCCATGACTTTACCCCAGCATCTACATCCTAACAATATAGATACTCCTATAGTACTACAATTAGCATCATTGATCCAAAAAATTTAACATAATACAAAAATATTTTCTAGTATGCAGTTCATATTAAAATTTTTCCATGCAGGCTGGGCATGGTGGTACATGGCTGCAATCCCAGCAGTCAGGAGACTGAGGTAAGAGAACCACCATGAGTTCAAGGCCAGTCTGAACTGCATAGTGAAGTGGACATCTCAAAAAGACAAAAAGAGGCCAGGGATTTAGCTCAGCGGTATAAGCACCTGCCTGGCAAGTGCAAGGCTGTGAGTTCGCTCCCTGGTACAAAAAAACAGACAAAAAGAAAAAAAAAAATTCCGTACAGTATTTTATGACTTTTTTCCCCAGTCAAAAAGTATGTGTTGTATTTGATCCTCCTGTCTCTAGAGTTTGCATTGGTTTTCAACAGTTCACTCATCTGGTTTTTGTTTAGGAGATTTTTTTTTCTTCTCATCTTTTGTGGCATTGACAGTTTTTAAAGCATTGGGCAAAACATCCCACAGTCTGGTTTTTTCCACTGGTTTCCTCATGATTGTCTTTGCTTAATCATTTTGTCAAAGTGACTTTTTAAAAAAAATCTTATACTTTTGTTTCTTACTTACTAAATGGAGTCTGTTAATATCAGTGTGCCTGCTGTGGCAATTTATGAAAGAACCTGTAATTAAGGCTTGATGAGTTGACCATTTCTTCTTCCCTGTGTTACCACTGCTGACTAGACACCTGTTACCTCAGTAGCCAAGGTGTTTATGGGGCCTGGCTGTGGGCTGTAGGTTCCCTTAGCTGTAACCCCAGTTCTGGGTTCTTGTATTGTGTTTGGCACCAGCAGTATATATTGAATTAAAATAGCTAGGAATGTTGCCAGCTATCATGACACACACCTCTATTCCCAACACTTGGGAGACTGAGGCAGAAGGTTTGAGGCCAGCCTGAATTATTTAGCAAGACCCTATCACCAAAACAAACAAACAAAAACCTGAAAATATGACTTAGCTGAGCATGGTGGCACATGCCTGTAATCCTAGTACTTGGAATCCCAAGGCAGGAGAATTGCAGTGATTTTTCGAGGCCAGTCTGGACTATAAGAGAGTTCAAAGTGAGCTTGAACTACATAGTGAGACCCTGCCTCAAAACAAAACAGAACAAAAGAATGTTACTTAGCTTGATTCAAAAAAGAATATTTTTAAATTTTACATCTTTTTTGTGGTAAAATATATATAAAATATAACATTTTAACCCTTTATGTGTACAATTTCAGTGGCATTTAGGTATGCACTTTTTTTTTTAACTACCAGGGATTGAACCCAAGACTTTAGCTCTCAGCTACACCCCTAGCCCCTTTTTTATTTTGAAATAGGTCTCATTAAGTTGGTAAGTCACCAACCTGAACTCAAACTTTTTATCCTCTCAGGGGACTGGGTTTACAGGCATGCTGCCACCAGCTCATTCACACTTTTGTGCAGTCCTTACCACCATCCATTTGCAGAAATTTTTCATTTCAAATGAACTCTTCATTCCCATAGTTTTTCCCTCATCCCCACCCTTCATAACCTCCATTCTACTTTCTGTGAATTTGATTATCCCTTAAGTAGAATCATATATTTGTCCTTTTTTGTCTGTCTTATTTCATTCAACATGTTTTCAGGGTTCATCCATATTATTGCATAACAAGAGTATTTCTGTTTAAACCTACTTTGTTTTTCAGGCAACAGAATTTATCAAACAGAACATTGTGATATCCAGTGGATTCGTGGGAGGATTTTTGCTTGGCCTTGCATCTTAAGGACATGGATGATCCTTCCTAGTGGATCCAAATGTGAGAAGAGAGTGGCAGCAGGTTAACCTCTTAGCAGTACATGCCACCAGAGTCTCCGGAGCAAGGAGAAACAACTTGCTGGACAGTCCCAAATTCGCAACTTATCATTTTGCCATCTGAAGCTTGGCAAACGAGTATCTGCTGTCAAACAACCTGTGTGGTATTTGAATAATAGTATTCTTGAGCAAAACATGGCTTTTGGCATTTTAAAAAAATTTGCATCTGTTTAGAAACTACCCAGTAAGATACCACTGTTAAGATATGGATATGAGAAAAAAATCTGTTGAGTCTATCTCCCAGTGAAATACCCTGTTTTATTTAAATAAGATGTTCTTTGTGCTTTACAGTATAGTGCCAATAGTTAAAGTTTGTCTGATAACTTCAGTAGTAGGGCTGACTTTTCTTTAAGATATATTTGCAGTAAATTTGAAGAGCTATAATGCCCTTTTGTGGAAGGCATTAGAAATAATAGAATTATTAAAGATTTTAAATAGATTCTACTGAGGTAATACCAGTCCTTAGTTTGTTTTCTCCTTGCATTTCTTCCCTGCACTACTTTACAAAAAGGCTCTTCTAAGGAAATACTACAACATGTCTAGAGCTCTTTTTCCTTTTTTGACGTCTGTAGTTTTAAAAATATCTTCTCGTATGTTACCTTCTAATTTTTGTATTTGTTTATCCTGGCAGCCTGGGCAGAACTAATTTTGGGCATTCATACAGTTGGGTCATTGATTCATTATATTAGCTCTGAAAATACTTCTTTTTTTGTTTCTAAAAATCCTAATTATTATTTTGCCCTCTTGTTACTGTCTGAACAATTGACTTCCTATGTAATCGTGAAATTGTACCTAAAAGAGACTGTTTCCTTGACCAAGTGTAAGAAAAGTACTGTGGCTTCCCGACTTTGGGTAGCATTATGTTTCTAGCCCCACTTAACTATTTTCCAGGGCCACCATCATACCCTGTCAGTCTCTTTTATCCCCCAAACCTTTCCAGATTGTTAATTTTGACCATGGAATTCTAGATTGAAATTGAGAAAAACAGCAGAACAATGCAGATTGGAGTTTTCAGATTGGAAAGACTACTGTGTTAAGACCATCTTCATTTGCTAGGGAGTCTCCATAGTTCATATGCTGTGCATGTTATAAACATGTGACATTTCATACTTTGAAGACTGGTTACAGGCTTTGTGTTTTCATTTTCCTGAGCCTCCTTAAAATTGAATGTGGATTCCATCTTTAATTTCTTCTTTTGTTCTCATTAGTGCCTCAGATATAATGCTAAATAAAACTCAGACTTTCTTAATATGAAGTGACTTTGCTTATGAATACCTGCTTTCCTTCTTTGCGCTTCTCTGTGTTTCTGCCCTGCTAAGCTTTTCATTATTGTGGAGTAAAAAGGAACAAATATTCACGAGTATGGTCAGGTTCTATCAGGAGGAACATTGGCCACGCTTCTGTGTGTCACACCTGTGTGATCTGATGCATTGAGACGGGCTATTTTAGAGCCCTCCAGTAGCTGACTCTGTTCATTTTGAAAAATATTTCTAGGGTCCTTTGCATGAAACCCTGGGAAAGTAGGAAACACAAAGACACCTGCCCTCCGCTTTCCAACTAAATAGATCCCAAAATACTCTTAAATGAAAAATTGAAGTGCTGGGAGTGTATCTCCTGGTTTCCACGCCCATCCCCAGCACCACAAAAAGAAAAGGAGGGAGGGAACTAGAAGCATGAGGAAGGAGGAGGAAGGGGGAGGAAAAGAGAAAGCTACAAAAGGACCTGGCGTGTGACTTACATGGCTTAGTGGTAAATGAGTGGTAGAGTTAACTATTTTGAGAATACAAATATTCAAATGGTAACAAAAAACCCTAGCTTTTCATTTTTACTGTACATTATTTTTTTCTTTAGAGGTTTTTGTTCATTTGTTTGTTTTTGCTTTAGGGCCTCACAGATGCTAGGCAAGTGCTCTACCACTGACATACACCCCTAGCCCACCTACCCATATATTTCTAAGTATGTCGTGATATTTGAAAATATCTGTGTGTAATTGCCAAACATTACCAGTACTCTTTATTGTCTGATCCATCTGCTCCATGCCTGTGCCATTTTCCACTAGGCTAACACTGCTTGCGGCAGCTGTGTATCACCAGCCTCTAACTGCTAGAGTGCACAGTTTGGATGAAGTTTCCCTTATCTGAAGTTCTTGGGACCCAAATGTTTCCGGTTTTTCAGATTTTGGAATATGTGCTTATACATGATGAGCTATCTTGGGGTGTGACCCAAATCTAAACACGAAATTCATTTATGTTTTATACATACTTTATATACCTGGCCTTAAGATAATTTTATGTAATTATGTGGATGAAGCAGAGTTTTTGTATTACAGGTAAGGAGGCTGGGAGAGGCTTTCTCTTCCTCAGGAGTGCTGAATATACTATGTAGTTTATCGGCACTTTGACCACAACTCATCCCGTGAGGTGAAGTGTATAATTATTTGCAGCATCAAACGAGCAATCAGGAAGTTCCAGAGTTAGGATTTTGGGGTTATGGATGCTCAACCTCTGTAGTGCTTTGCTCTTCGTAGACCTTCAGTTCGAATGGGTTTGGGAAATGTGTTCCTGTGCTGGGTTAGGGCCTGGTGATAGGAGAGAGTTCTTCCCTGCAAAGCAGAGCAGTGAATTGAGGCTCCATCAAGAATTAATTTGGTAGGGGCTGGGGATTTAGCTCAGCGGCATAAGTGCCTGCCTTGCAAGTAGGCAGTCGTGAGTTCAATCCCTGGTACCGATAAAAAAAAAAAAAAAGACCAAAAAAAAAAAAAGAATTAATTTGGTGGCAGAGAATAGTTTAGACAGCCTGTTTTGTCTGAAATGAAGGTTTTTTTTAATGTTTCATGGTATGAAGGCTATTTGTGAGATTTATTAAAATTAGACTGTGGAACATACCTGTTTTTGTGGGTTAGGCATTGGAAGATATATAGGAATGTCTTGAATGATTTTTATTTTTATTCTTCCAGTTCTCCCTATCCTGCTTAACAAAAATACATGATTTTAATGTTTTTATTTCAAATACAAATGAAATATGTTCTTTATAGAAAAATAAATCAAGGCCAGGTGTGGTGACTAAACGCCTGTAATCCCAGCACTTGCGAGGCTGAGGCAGGGGGATTGCTGGCCAGTTTGCGGTCAGCCTGGGCTACAAAGTGAGTTCAAGGCCAGCCTGAACTGCATAGTGAGAGCCTGTCTTAAAAAGAAAAATAAATCATTGTGAAGATTCCCTTTATTTTTGTCCTTTATTAGTTTAAATGCATACTTTAGGACAGTGATGGCAAGTCTTCTAGAGCTTTCTATGATACAAATAGCTCACTGTGGCATGTGTGCCATAGGTTTGCCACCACTAATTTAGGAGATGGAAATATAGCTCAGTAGTAGAGTACCTGCCTAGTACCAGTATGATTGAGGTCCTGGTTCCATCCAGCACTGCAAATACTTGTTTTCCATTGTTACGTAATATCACCTTAATACTCTATAATGAAAGAAAATTCAATAGGGCATCTCTTCCCTCCTTCATTTGGTTAAATTATTACAGTGAATGGTGTAATCAAATGATGGAATTCTATGCAATTATTTAGAACAATGTACTGTTATATAAATTGACCTAGAAATATATTAACATGTTAATGATAAAATCAGGTTACAGTCAGGCATGGTGGTGCATATCTGTAACCCCACCAACTCAGGAAGCTGAGGCAGGAGGATTGCTGCCAGTTTAAAGTCACCCTGGACTACATAGTAAGTTGAAGGCAACCCTACGAATGAGATCCTATCTCCAAAAAAAAAAAAAAACCCACCCAGATTGTGAACAGTGTGATCCAATTAAAAAACAATACTCGTACTTCTGTATTATGTGTAACCTTACACTGCTTTGTTTTGTTTTGTGTTTTTCTCTTTTTCCTCTTAAAAAAAAAAAAAAAACAATACTCAGGGCCGGAGATTTAGCTCAGTGGCATTAGCTCCTGCCTGGCAAGCAGGCAAACACGAGGTCGTGAGTTTGATCCCCAGTACTGCAAAAAAAAAACAACCCAGTTCATGAGTACACACACAAAAGATCATTGTGATTATCTCTGAGTGGTTGATACATAGGATTTTTATTTTGTACTTTCAACATTTTGATATTATCTAAAGGCTTTACAGCAAGTTAACCTTAGAAACCTTTTAGAACCAATGATATAATTTAAAACCAATGGGTTATTACTATTTCATGGGAATTTTTATTTGCATTTATTGAATTTTTGTTTTGTTAATACTGGGAATTAAATTAAACCCCAAGCCTTCACACTGAGCTACATCCTCAACCCATTTTTTAAATGTTTGAGAGCCAGGTGTGATGCATGCCTGTAATCCCAACATTGGAGAGGCTGAGATGGGGGGATCCTCACTAGTCCAAAGCTAGCCTGTACTACATAGGGAGACCTTGTCTCAAAAAAGGGGGAAAAAAAGGGATGGGGATATAGGTCAGCATGAAGGCCCTGAGTTCAAACTCTAATAGTGAAGCCAGGCGTGGTAGCGCATGCCTGTAATTCTAGCACTCAGGAGGCTAAGGGAGGAAGACTGTTGCGTGTTTGAGACCAGCTTGGGCTACAAAGTGTGCTCAAGGCCAGCCTGAACTGCATGATGAGACCCTGTCTTAATAAGGAAAATAAAAGCCTTCAATACCAAGAATAAATTTTGAGACAGTGTCTTAAATTGCACAGGCTGGACTTGAACTTGCAATCCTGCTGCTTTAGCCTCAGGATTGGAGGCATATGCCACCACACTGGGCTTTGAATTTTTTTAAATTGTCCATATCAAAAAACAACGTAGTTTAAGTTAAAAGGGATTATAAAACTAACAAAAAAAATTTCACCAAATTCAAGAACAGCCTGGGCTACAAAATGAGCTCAAGGCCAGCCTGAACTGCTTAGTAAGAGCCTGTCCCAAAGAGACAAAAAAAAAGAAAAACTTCTTTGCTGCATATCTTCTCCAATGTAGTAACTTTTTCCCCAGGGAAGTTTCCAACTATATTAGTTATTTTTCTTGGCATTTACTACATCCATATTTCTTAAACTTTCTGTATTATAACTGACTTGTACTTCCTATTATGGTAGGTATCGATTTAGCTTCCTTTTCACATCCTTGAGGTAACAATTTATTAAATTCTCATAAAGTCATATATTATTATGATATTGTTTACTAATGAATAAGGACACATGTCCTATAGGTCCCTTTCTGAGTGTTCAGCTGGATCCAGCCTTACTTCATCCTGTGAATAGTGCTGGGACATGAAGGGCACAGTGCTTGATGAAAGGACTCCCCTGAAAGATGCCCATGTCCTGATCGCCTGAACCTATGACCTGAACCTATGAATACATTAGGTTACATGACAAAAGGAAGTTGAGGTTGCAGATGAAGTTAAAGATACTGATCAGCTGACCTCAAATGACATTATTTTGCATTAAAACTGTGGGCTCAATGTAAACTCAGAAGTTTCTCAAAGAGGAGGATGAAGGCCAGGGATTTAGCTCAGCCACAGGCACTGGCAAGTGCTAGGTCATGAGTTCAATCCCCAGTACAAAAAAAAAGAGGGTGGAAGTCTTAAGAGAACAAAGAGATGAGATTGCAGAGGAATGGTCAGAGACTACATTGCAGGCCTTGGTGATGGAAAAAGGCCATGAGCTGAGGAATACAACACTGGTAGCCTCAGAGCTGGACAAAGCAAGAAAACAGATTGTTCCTTCTTCCTCCAGAAAGGGATTCATCTCTGCTGACACCTAGGTCGATTGATTGAGACAGAGTCTTGCAATATAGTTCTGGATGGCCTTGAACTCACTGTGTAGACTGACCTTAAACTCGTAACAACCACTTCCTGCCTCAGCCTCCCAAATGCTGGGATCACACCTAAATTTTAGCCCCATGTGACCCATGCTGTATGTCCTACTTATGTAAAATAGTAAAATTGTGCTGTTTAAGCCACGAAGTTAGTAATACACTTGTCATGGACATATAATGCAGGAATCCCTACGCTGTTTCCCCTTGTGGCAAGGGGCAGCTTTTTGTATTCCCCATGTCAGTCAGATGTTGGTTACAGTGTGCCTTCAAGGTCTGGGGTGGTTGACCTCCCAACCAGGGAGGCCTTGTCCTCACAACAGCAGTTATCAGGAGGACAGTGGAACCATTTGGTACCCAGGCCTAGAACTGGCCATGGATGTGCTGGTCCAGTGAGCTCTGCAACAGCATTTGTCTAGCACACTTGAACCCAGGGTTCCATCCCCA